GAGGGATGGAGGGAGGGAGGGAGGGGAGCGAGCTTGACCGTTTCCGACTGAAACTTTGCCCTCGCCTCCTCGCGCTCTCGTTCCACCATGGTGATGAACTCGTCCAGGAGGACAGCAACGACGATGTTCATGAGGACCTGCAACATGCTGTGAGGATAAGGCGGGACTAGTCACTGGGACTTACGAGTCCAACTAGGAGCATGTAGGAGACGAAGAAGAAGCCGACCTGACAGGATCAGTCAGAGGTGCGGGCGGTATGAGCGCGCTGCTGCTCTGACCCCAAAGTCGTGGGATTGATGAGCCAGGTCGTAGTTGAAGAGAGATCTCGAGATAATCGACCCCCACGCGTCGCCGGTGGCAACTTGATACATCTGACCGACACGCGTCAGCTCGCCATGTTGTGCTCGCACACTCATCTGACAGTGAACATGGAGCGCATGAAAGTGCCGAAGAACTCAGGTTGGTCATGTGAGAAGAGATTGGTGCCGATGACAGCGTAAATCGATGTTATCAATGACATGATGCAGAGTGCGTTGGCAACGGGTAGTACTGGGAGATGAGATCAGTACACAGAAGCGTAAGGCCTACAGGGAGTACCAGACGCTACGAGAGCGTTAATGAGGATTCTCAAGGATGCGAGCTTGCTGGTGGAGGAGGAATCTAGTCAATGGCAGGAGCAGCAAAGGCGACAAGCGTCTACCGGAAGAGGCGGACCATCTTGAACACTCGAGCTAACCTTAAGATGCTCATAGCGAACAGACCTTCCACGAACTGGGAGACGAGAGAGAGGACGACGACGACCAGATCTGAGTGGATGAATGAGCGACCATTACAAGGAAAGAGTCAAGGCGAACCTAACAAGTTCCATCCGTCTTTGAAGAAATCTACCGAATAATGTCCATAGAGATTCATCAGCAAGTCCTGCCCTCAACTTCAACCCATCGACAAGGCAAGGGGCAGCTCTCACCAGCGTGAAGGAGAAGTTGTAGAACCACTCGAGCGCCGTGAAGACCTTGTCTCGATGTGAGCCTGGCTCTGGGAGAATCTGAGCATTGACGAGAGCCGTAATGTAAGAAGCGAAGATTATCCCTCCCACGATGCTCTGGAAACAAAGCTGTTGTAAATCTTCCGCGACTTCCTTCTTGACCGAGCGAACCATCCCTTCTCTTTCGTCGCAAACTCCTTCTCTTGCGCTATGATCACCATCTCCTCCAGCAAATTCGTCAACTCCGTGTACTGATCTTCGTCCTTCACCCCGAGGAATGTTATGCGGCCATAGTTGAATCCGTCTTCGATCGTGTGGATGCTGAAAGTGAGCAAACCCTCAGCGTCATCGTCTAAGATGTTTGCTGTGCTTAAGTCTCTCTCTTTCATGGAGAAAGCGAATGAGCCTAGGGAAGTTAGCGAAGACTTTCGCAACAAAGTGTTGCTGTCTTTGGTCCCAAAGGTCTCCTGTCGACGTATGCTCTTCACCTCTGCCAGCGGGATCTGATCGAGCACAGTGCTCCCATGGACCTTGGAGAGTAAGATTTCTGAGTCTGTGACGTGGATCTTCCTTCTCTGCCATGTCACCCCGACCTTGCTGCATGGCAGAAAAATCGCAGAAAGGAAGGCGTTAGTCGAAACCTCGCAAGTTACAGACATATCACCTGACGACCTGGCGCAGGACCTCGACGGAGGCCTTGATCTCTGAGTCAGGAGGAAGCTTCCTCTCCACGCTGTCGCTATCCTCCTCCTTCACCCTCATACGAGCCGCACGAACGCCCATAAAGGCCGCCATCGCGTGTGTGAACACAAGATCGGACTGGCCCGAAAAGGTAGGGTGATATCTGGTATGCCCACGGTGGGATGACATATCTGCACTGGAATCAGGGGTGGGGGTAGTCTTGATGGGGGTACCAGTGGATCAATCTGTACTAGCTGATGATGGGTTTCATACACTATACCGGGGTAGGGGTACAATAATGAGGGGTTATGATTCGGAGGTCAAGTTCAAAGGGGTGGGGGCTATAGGTCAAGTCATTCGGCTTGTAAAGTACCGCCGAGTACCCCCTACCAATGGGTCTCTCACACTACCCTACCCCTATAATGTTTGTTTTGTAGCCGGGTCCACTAACCCATCATCAGTGAGCACTCCCGAGCTAGTCAAGTTTTTATACTTGTACGGAATAGGAAAACGGTACTGCAGAGGAGTCAAAGGTGCTTTGAACTTGGAGCTGTGACGAGTACCCGGTGGTTTAAAGGGGGGATTGAATCTGAGGGGTACTTGGGGATCCGCACGACGCAGGTTCTGGGAATTCAGGGGGTACTTATGGGGTCCAGTTAACATTCGTGCAGCAGGAAGTTAATTTCAAACCAATTTCGAATTCTCAAAAAGTTGAGAATGTAAAATTGAAACTTTGAGCGCAACATAGGAAGTTTCGTGATGACTTAGGACGGGGTCATAATCCATAGGGACTGGGGGTACTCACAGCTGCAACCGTTAAACTTTCCAACGGGTTGAACTCCAGCGGGGGACCTTACTAGGCTACTAGGCCTCGACTCTCCTAAGATGGCCTCGTACTGATTTTTAACTTAACTTTGAGTAAAGCTTTGCCAAAAGGCTAGTGACTGCGATAGATGCCATCATCTTCTCCGTCATCCTGGGGGGACCACACACATGGCAACCTGCAGGCACCGCAGCCAGTTATGGACTGATGCGCATGAGAAGTGCAATGCCGTCCTCAGTACCCTCATCAAAGATTCCGGAGTGAGATGCCGTATCCACATGCAAGGCGTACCCGGCACCAGGCGCAGAACGTTTCCCAACACGGCCCTGAAGATCATCATGTAGGGGACTCTGGAGGCGGATGGCATGGGTTAATCCTGGACTTCAGCATGTCACATGTTTTTGACAATGATGGATTGAATACCGGACCTCGCTCGGAGCAAACTGCAAGCGGCAGCACTGAGCGGAAGATCCGAGGGCATCGTAATGCATATGCTCAGCACGTCCCGCCAAAGGCCTTTCTTCCCATCATCGCCAGCACTGATGGCCTCTTGCAGGACGATGCGTTGCGCTTTCTGTGGTGGCTGGCGGATCGCTCGGCGAACAAGGAAACGGTTGAGTGCCATCATCGCGGGTGCATCCCGGTATGCGTCTCATTCCTTCGGCGGCGGCCACCGCGACATCGCTGGCATGGCCGCGCGGGGGACTTGTCCTGCGCGCAGTTAAGTGAAGGTATCAGTTAAGTTTGGGGGACAGCAGTCGGCAGGTTTAGGTTTGGTTCTCGCTGTCTTTTCTCTTCTCGCCGTTTGGCCTGTGCGACAGTGTCAGGGTCAAGCCTCCTCGTCTCTCCTGATTGTCCTCGTACTGATCTTTAACTTAACTTTGAGTAAAGAGTAAGACTACCGTACCGGGTACGGTAGCCGTCTGGCAGTCCGAGTCCGGTCCGGCAGTCAGCCCGGGGGCGGGGGTGGACGGGCCGGCCGGATCATGAAGTGTCGGTCGGGTCGGACTCGGGATGACTGCCAGCCCGGCGCCGGCGGGCGGCCGCCGCCGCCGCCGCTCCCCGGCCGGCCCGCGTGACATTGCCGGACGGTGAGTCACAGTGGCCGGGCGGCCCCGCTTCGCGGCCCGGGGACATTCGGACCGCGACGCCGTGGCCGTCCTACGGCGAGGCCCCCCACGTGCTGTCATTCCCGTCACAGTACTCCGTAATGTGGGCCTGAGGACCGTCACGTGCACGGTGCTGCCGCGGGGTCCCCGGCCACCCGGCACTCACTTCACCATCGATCAGGCTGATCCGGGGGCGGACGGAGTACAGTACGGTACCGTGACCGTACTGTACCCCGGTAGTAGGCTGAAACCTGGCTTCGGAACCGTGTAGTTCCGATTTCAGTTGTCACCGGGTCAGTGCCCCACTGTGGAACTTAGCCTGAGGAGACCTGATGATGATATCAAGCATCTGCAGCTCAAACCTCTCTCATCATTCTCCTCGCATTCACCTCCTCACGATGTGCTCGCCTATTTCAACAGGAACAACTCAAATGGTCTGCTTGCGGAGCCTTGTACTTGTTAACAAAATCGTGATCATTGAAATGCATCGGTCCCTGATGCGAAGAGGGCACTCTTCTCTTTACAGCTTCAGCTGCATGCCAGATGGGATCTCTCAAAATTCGCATCAGCTTCCAAGTTCGCCTCACTCTTCAAGTTGAGGTTCAAACTTCAACGCTCAGCAGTTTCCGCACGGTCATATGATAGTAGTATATGATATGATAGTAGTATATGATAGTAGTAGTGATAGTATACATCAAGTCCCATATCTCGGGTTGGCGAAATCAACATGAAAAATCTTCGATGCATGGCAGCAAGAGACCAAGATGCTGCCACGATGCCCTTCCATCATCTAGTATACACGTGCCATGCCGTCGGCACACATTCCTTCCTCCTCAGACAGCTCCGTGCTCTCGCAGGCTGACATGAACCATTCGATCCACGTAGGGTCAAGTGCCGTCACATCTTCGTCCTCCCATCTGATCACTGCTGGAACCTGGGCTCTCCTCTTCTCCTCTGCTTCCGCTGCTACTGTGTTGTTGCACCGAGATCTTCGCTCGTACGGCCATCGGGTAAGACCGAGACGGCGGCAAGCGCTCTTGAAGGCAGTCAGCGAAAGCTCCTGTCGAGTGAGATCAGCAGGGAGAATTGCGTACAGGGGGGAAAGAGGAGTCTACCAGGGAAGATGCTGCGCGAATCTGGGGGAGGTGGAACAACTGAGCGAGGGTCGAGTACTTGAGGTTGACTCCCCTCCTTCTCTTGCCTTGGTCGAGGAGGCGCTGGATGGTTTTCCTTCTCGGGAAGACGCGGATGATGGTGGTGGGATCCATGGGGGAGAGGCCGCTACAGCTGTCCTCACTGACCGCCCTATGCCTTCTCCTCCTCCTCTCCTCTTCTCCTCGTCTCCTCTTCCCCCACTTGTGCCCTCCCGGTCGTATCTCCTACAGTCATAGGGGGAGTGGTCACGCAAGGTTTGGCTGTCATGAGGCCCTCCAAGGTAGAGGATTTCATAAGTGGTTCCCCAATACAAGAGTACCAGGGTACCTACTACCGACAGTCAGCGCAGCCGCACGGGGCCCTTATTTGCTATGACAGGCAAAAAGTGCCTAATAGTCCCCCCGATAACGTGGAGGGACAGGGCAGGGGTAAAGGAAAAGACTCTCAGCTAGGTCTCAATCCTATTAAGAACCATTAAGACTGAGTAGACCCGACAAGGAGCGATATCATGCTCAATGGGGCCAGCGGTGCTGATTTGACTGCCGGTCGGAGAACTCGGAACTTATTACGGTCAAAGTTGAGACTTGAAGGCTACGGTACCAGCGAGTCACGGGGCTTCTGCGGCGGTGACGGGCACGGTAACTCAGTGACTTACAATGCCCAATTTTCGGCATGTTCCACCAACAGTTCCGAGTTCGGGAGGTGGCAGTGCCGAACCTCGGAACTTCGGAAGCCTACCGTACGGCGGAATCATTGCACAACGGCGGATGATTCATCTGCCATGATCAGTGTCACGGGCCCTATTGACTCTGAGGCTCAGTCTGTCTGCGGGCCACCGGGCGGCACTGCCGCACTGCGGCATGCAGGCGGCGGCTGAGGTGACCGGGTGACTCCGGCACCCCCATCGGCCGCTCCGGGGCCCTCGGAGCCTCGGAGGGCTACAGTGCCGAACCACGGCGGACGCCGGAGTCTGACCGCTCCGAGAATCCGAGGCTCAGTCTTCCTCCTCCCGGCCTCCCTCACTGTGACTGTGCACTGTAACCGGACCATGCGGCACAGTGACAAGATCACTGTTGTTTTCTTTCTCATTATCCCCCCCCTCCTCCTCCTTGGGCGGTGACCCTCGGGACCACGATGTTCATCTCCGGATGCTCCGCCATGGCTCGCAGCCCCAGCAGCCACCTGCCGCCGACTCATCGCTGGAAGGAAGTAGAGCATAGAACACCGATGCAGGAAGACGCCTGCGTCAAACATGCTGGGGTCCTTTTGGCATCCAGCGACTGCTCCTGCTCCTGCTCCTGCTCCTGCTCCCCATCTCCCAATGTCTCTTGCTCGAACCAGTCGCTTACCCACCTCCTCATAGTCCTCCAGGTCACGCGCGATCAGGGTGGAGCACCTGAAGTCTGTCATCAGCGTCTCCTCCTCCTCCTCAGCGCACGAGCCCTGCGGCTCGGAGGATCGAGGAGGCGACGCGAGAAGCTTTCGATGGGCCGGCCCAGGTCAGGACAGGGACGTCTGCCCAAGCCATGTCGAGCACTGGAGGAGCGAACGTGAGGAGAAGGACGCGGTGGAAGCGGGTGAGGGAACAGTAGGAAGAAATTGATGGCGATTGGTAGCAGCATGGGACAAGAGCAGGCGACGAAGAGGGGAGGAGGAAGAGGAGGAGGGAAAAGGGGGGGAAGGGGACGAAGAGGAGGAATGAGAAGGGGAGGAGGAGAACGATCAACCTGTGGTATGGCCGTTGGATATCACTCTGGTATCGCACTTTTGTAGGCGAAGCGGGATG